CTGCCTCCTGCCTCCTGCCTCCTGCCTCCTGCCTCCTGCCTGCCTCCTGCCCCCCAAAATGGAGCCTCTTTTCCCAATCTGTTTCTTTCTGCTGCTGATTCATTGCCACAGCTACACTGAGGTGCAACATGCCTCCTCTTCAAGTTCTTGGCCCTTCAGTGTAAAAGACAAAATATCTGCTCCTGTTGTGCAGGTGGGGGGGGCCCCCCCCCCCGTGTGTTCACTCAGCGCACCTTGGCCTAGGTTGTTCGATCCTAATCTCTGCTTCTCCTTTCTGAGATTTGTAGCTCAAATACACACCCGCCCCTTCTTCACTAGCTACAGGCTGTGTCTTAATCCATCACTCTGCCTGGTATCCATCTCACAAAGAGATGGGTGCTCGAGGGCTCTTGGCACCCACTCAACTCCTTCCTTTTGCCTAGTGCATTCCTTTTCCTTTCTCTTCTCCTCCTCTTCACCTTTGTTCTCCGCCTCCTCTATTTCACCTTTTTGGTTTTTTTCTTGAGACATGGCCTTTCTACATAGCTCTGGCTAGCCTGAAACTCACAGAGATCTGCAGCCCTCTCCCTCCTGAGTGCTGGGATTTAAGGTGTGTGCCACCATGACCCGCCTCCTTGCATTTTTCTAGTCAAAATCTTACACCTCTCCAGAGGACAGCAGTGACAGGCACCTGCCTGGCCACCTAACTGGGGGCATCGAGGGAGGGGGTGCTTCTTGTCTTCTCAGCAGCATCAGACACCTGCCTGGCTACCTAACAGGGTGAGAGTGGGGTCCTTGTCTTCTCCGCTGTTTGGTGATGGCGGCCTAATGTACATGGTTCCCAGAGTGTGTTGGGAGGAACAATAGTCCCAAAAAATAGTCTACCAAATAAAACACTGTTCAGTAAAGAAATCATTTTCTTAACACACTGTTCCTAAACACAGACAGGTATAGAGCTCTTCACTGGGGTCACATGGGCAAACATGCCTTGGGGACAGTTCATTCTGTGTATCAACTTGGTTGGGCCATGGTCTAGACATGACCTGGATGTTTCTGTGAGAATGCTTTTGGTTAATGTATTTAGCTAGGATTAGTATTGCTCCAATGAAACACCATGACCCAAAAGCCTGTTGGGGAGGAAAGGGTTTATTTGGTTTACACTTTCACACCGCAGTTCATCACTGAGAGAAGTCAGCACAGGAACTCAAGCAAGGCAGGAACCTGGAGGCTGGAGCTGATGCAGAGGCCATGAAGGGGTGCTGCTTACTGGCTTGCTCTCCCCAGTTTGCTCTGCCTTCTTTTCTACAGATCCTAGGACCACCAGCCCAGAGATTGCCCCGCCCACAGTGGGCTGGGGCCTCCCCATCAATCACTAATTAAGATAATGCCCTGCAGCTGGATCTTATGGCAGCACTTTCTTAATCAAGGTTTCCTCCCTTCAGGTGACCCTAGCTTGTGTTGAGTTGACATAAAAACTAGCCAGCACAGTTGGTGGCCTCATTTTGTTACCTGGAGACTTAAATAGAAAGAAAAAAAAAACCACTGCTAGGAAGGCATTCTGTTTAGTGAATGGTCTTGAACTGGAACCCCAGTATTGACTCCTGAAAGACTTTAATTAGTATATGTGCATGTGTAAGCTAGCCTGTGCACCTGAGCTAGCCTGTGCACCTGTGTACTGTCTGTGGTGATCAATATCAAGCGTTCCCCTCAGTTGATATCCACCTTTTTGAGAGAGGGTCTCTCACTGAGCCAGCTTGGCTGCCCAGCAAGCTCTGGGAATTTGTCTACCTCCACCCGCCCACATGGGGGCGACAGGCACGCATAGCCATGCTCAGCTTCTTTATGCTTGCATAGCACTTTACCCACTGAGCATTCTCCAGCTCCTCATCTGTCAGTATTTCTAAACTCATTTTAAAGATCGGAACAGATGCAACACACATATGGCACCACTGCAAGGCCACTCAGATAACGGGGAGCAGAGCCGGGACCTAGTTGGCCTGGGTGGCTGCAGACTGCTCGGTTTCCCAGTTTGCCTTGCATGTCTCTGGTGCCAAGACAGAGTCTCTTATACCGAAGTGTCTTGTGCACATTGTATTGATAAGCTTGGGTAGTAGGTAGGCTGAGTAACTGAAGTAACGAGAAGCAGTGCACATGCCCAGCCTTAAGCCAGGCGTGGACTAATGTGAGCCTTGTCTTCTGCTGGGCAAGACCTTTCTAGACCCAGGCTTTAGCCGAGGCGAACGCAGCATGGAGGTGACCTGGGCAGTGAGCAGGTGAAGGGGGAACAGTTCCCGTCCCCATCCCCTGGTAATAAAGTTATTTGCAGGTTAATCTTACTTTCCAGTCTCTCTGTCTTTTCCTCGGGGCCTTGCTGTGTCTTCCCTCCCTTCACCTAAGGAGACACTTCTTGTGTGCGTTTCTTCTCGATACCGAGTGGAGCTGCCCCTCTGGCCACTTCTGATCCCATTTTCTCCAATACGATCATCGATCGATGCCACCCCTTCCACCAAATCTATTTCTTCCCGGAACCTCCTCACCTCCTTCATTTTCCTCTGGATATTTTCCCGTTTCTTAGCACTGCTCTCAATCTGAGCTTTCTTCTGAATTTGAACACCAAGTGTCACCAGCGGTGACTGACAACAATGAGGCCTAAGAAAACAGGTCATTCGAGCTGCAGAGACGTCAGGGAAAGACTCTCAGAATTTGATTGGCCTTTTGTTAAGAGAACAGAGACTCTGTGAGTCGGCCTGAGCGAGACACTGGCCCCTTTTAAAGAGGACAGAGTCAGAATGGCATGTTCTGAAAGGGCAGCGTTGATAGCTGAAACTAGGTGTGCCTCAGGCGGGGACTGTGTAAGCCTGAGCATCTTGCGTACCAGCAGAGTGTCTAGCAGCCTTGGGAAGGAGAGGGCCCAGTGGAAAGCCAGGTGGATCTGATTGGTGGGGAAGGTGAGCTAGGGAAGTTGCCCAGTGGTGCACACAAACTGCCAGGCAAAAGCAGGAGCCAGGGGCACCTGGGCAAGAAGCCCCATAAGATGTTCAAGAGGAGCTCCAAACAGGCACCTGGATACAGTTCTGGACCCGGAGGGGGACACGTCGACACTGTGAGTGCCATCTCTGATGTTGTTTGGATGTTTGTGTCTCTCTCCCTCTCAGACATTCCAAATTGTAGGTGAGGCAGTGGAATGAAGAAAGAGGTAAGAGAGGAAAGACACAGAAGGAGAAAAGGAAGGGAAACCCAGTGTCTCAGTGAAGTAGGTCAAACCAATGACCAATTCACTGATTTGCTTTAGTAAGTGATTGTGGGTACCTAGAACCTATGGGCCATTAGTGTATCCATCCAAGCTCAAGGGAATGCCAGAAAAATAGATTTTCCTCATCGAGTTGGTGACAAGGGATGGCGTAGCTTTGGACACTGAAAACATGGAGACAGAAGATTTACTTTGGGTTATATGGGCTTTGCTTTCATCGGGGTTGCTGGCCAGATGGGTCCCAAAGGAAACAGAAAACCTGATGTGACTAAGAGTCATGGGATTCTCACCGTAATCTCCACTGAGGAGTTGCACAGACTCATCTGAGGGTTACCTCACTGGAAAGGGGGTGAACTTATTTGTAACCCAGCAGCAAGGCAGCTTCTGTCTCCAGGCAGGAATTAAAACCAGGTAAAAACCCAGAGGCTTACCATAAATTCGATCCATAAGCCAATGTGACTTGCATTTGAGAATGTCTACACTAGGAGCGTTGCTTAGGTTCCCTGTGAGCAAGGCCTTCAATCCCAGGGCCGCCTCTGTTAACAAACACGACCCCAGCAGAGTGGCTGAAATTGTATAGGACCATGACCAAGAATAAGGGTTCCGGAGACCGCACTATCTGAATTCCAGTCCTAGTGCCAAGTTATTTAACCTCCTTTGCCTCTCCACTCCCTCACCTGTAAAAGGGAGACAAGTCAGTCCTCACCTCACAGATGTAGAGATGAAGTTAGAAGGTATAGATAGGCAACGTGAGGTAGGAACTGGCATTTAGCAAAGGACACATTCATGTTCTCTGTATGGCTAAGCATAGGGGTAAGTTAGGACTGAGGGACACAGAAAAGCAGACCAGGGTCCTGCAGCTGCACGTGAGGAGACTCTGCAGCCTGAAACATCACCATCTCCAGAGTCATTGCAGAAGTAGAAATACAGTTCCCTGGGGGATAAAATTGCTTAAGGAGATAAGCCAGAGATGTCACCCTATTTTCTTCTGTTTTGCTCTAAATCTGACTTTCTTTAAACTGCCTCTACCAGAAACTACGGGTCATCGGGGAGGGGCGTGAAAGGGGGAAGTGGGACTTTGGGAACTGGGTCACTGTTTTAAAGGATTCCACTACCTGTCCTTAGGAGATTTATGGGAATGAAAATTTAAAAAAAAAGATTTAGTCCGAAGCTTAGTCGCTCGGTTAGGTGGAGAAGATGGCTTCTTTGCATGGGGAAACTTCTCTGCCACAGACAGCATAAAGCGTCCTGTTGTGCTTTTGTTTGTGAAAAGTTTCTCAAGAACAGAATTCTAAGAATCTCAGGGAGAACTACAATCCAACAAGTCGTTCAGCACAATCCACACCATCACACACATGAACTCAGATTGCAAAAACCGCGGTAACCTGGGATCAAACATTTCCTATAGGGAATAGAGGAAGTGAAGTCCTGATGAATGTGCGTTGTCGGTATGGGCGTGGCCAGGGCACCCCAGAGCCTCAGACCACAGAGAAATGGCTCCACCTTCTCCCCAGGGGGCAAGGTTCACAGGGAAGGGCAAGCCCTTCTTTAGTGTGTGGACGTTGGTAGTGTGTGCAAAGCATGTCTCCATAGCTTCCCCTCGCTGGATGTTTATAGCCTGAAGGATGCTCCAATAAAGAGGCTGTCTCTACCAAGATTAGCTCAGCCGCTCTCCCTGATACCCTGCCTCCTTGTTTATCTGTATGTAACAACCCTGCTTTTCTGTTCTACTCCGTATAATAAGCACTTTAAACTTCTAGAGCGCTAAGGTATCCCCATCTGAGAGCCCAGTTCATCCAACCTCAGCGCTGTTTCTGTCAATCTGTCCGTCAGTCTGCCCGCCTGTCTGTCTGTTTTTTCTTTATTTCCTAACCACCTTCAGTCGGAGTAAGTCCCTGGAAGCTGTGTGTAGACATAGAAAATAGTGTCTAACCAAGGACCGCAGTGTAGACACTGGCTACAGGGAAGTCTCATTGGTTACATGAGGAACGCCCCAGGATAAGCGTGCTTCTGAAACAGGTGAAAGGAGGAAGCAGAAAGGGATATAGAGAAAGGAAGAAACAGATGTGAAGAAAGAGATAAGGATACAGGGGCGCACTTTTAAATTGTCGGCTGTAAAACTCCATTCTCCAGCTGAGATCCCAGACTGCCCAACCACGGATTTTTTGCATCTGTCTGCCTTTGTCTTTTGCCTCATTCCCTCCCTGCCCCAGTCAAGTCTGTCCCTGGGAACCATGAAAGGATGTAGTCATTTCTTTCCTTAACATGTTTTCATTTCTTAATAAGCTTTTAAATCTGGGTATAATTATTATAAATGCGATGCACAATTGACAGGCATATGGTACAGCTTGGAATTCCATACACTTTGGTAGCTGTCACTCAGAGCAAACACAGATGGATCTACAACATGCCCGGAAGCTCCCTCAAACCTCCAGCCTCAACCCTTTCTGGTTTCTTTGTTTCCTTTGTCTTTGTTTATCGTTCTTGTAATGGAATGAGCTACCTGCAGTGCATTGCAGGGTTTGCGCTCTGTTGCTTGATACATTGAACTCTGTTGCTTGATACATTGAACTCGAGGTTTGCCTGTGTGGTCAGAGGTTCTCAGATCCATTTCTCTTCGGTACAGAAGAATATTCCATTGTACCGTGATTGTATTTCCAGTTTTAGCAACACATATGACAAAGACTCCCTTTTCACCATGAATGACCTGGATACTTTTGTACATATTCCAGCTGTGTGCTGGTCAAGCTTTGTTGAATCTGGTTGATGTTGACTGTTAGACTGTTATATTGTGAGTTATATAAATTCTCTGAAGTTATGTTTCTTTTTCAAAATCATTTTTGATATCTGTGGTCGTTTGAATGAGAAGTCCTCCACAGACTCAGGTATCTCAATACTTGGTTCCCAGGTGGTAGAGCCATCTGGGGAGGAAATGGGTCATTAAAGGTGGCGTTGAGAGTTCAAATCAGCAGCTTCTCAACCTTCCTAACGCTGTGGCCCTTTAACACATTTTCACATGCTGTGGTGACCCCCACCATAAACTTATTTCATTGCTACTTTATAACTGGAATTTTGCTACTGTTGTGAAGTGTAAAGTAAATATCTGATATGTAGGATCTCTGATATGTAACCAGTGTGAGAGTGTCCTTCAGCTCCCGGAGGGCCACACCCCATAGGCTGGAGGACCACCAGTTTAAATCCTTCAGTGCTTCCGGGTTGCTCTCCCTGCTCGGCTGTATAACTGCGAGTGTGAGCTCTCAGCTGCGGCTCTGGCTGCCTTCCTTGATACTTGCTGTCATTGCCTCTAAGGCCACAGTGGACTCTTATCTCTCAGGCACCATAAGCCAAAATAAATTCTCCCATAAGTTGCCTTTGCTCATGACCTTTTATCATAACAGAAACGTGACTACTGCAGTATTTTTAAATCTTTTGTGTTTCTATGCATAGATTAAGATCAGCTTTAATTTAACTTCTCTTAAAGACATTTACTTGCTGGGATTTTTACACACTTTCTATAGAATAAATACATATATCTATAGAATATAACTGACTTAAAACATTGTTCCTTCTGGGCAATGAGCATACTATATTCCTCCATTTCCATATGTCTCTTTAATTTTTCTCAGATATACCTTAGAGTTTTTATAGAGAGATTATTCTAATGTACTTTCTGTTGCTGTGATAAAACATACTACTGAAAAGCACCTTGGGGAGAAAAGGATACCTTTGCCGTACATTTTGAGATCACAGTCCATCATTAAGGGAGGTCAGGGCAGGAACCTGGAGCAGAGACAATGAAGGAATGATGCTCACTGGCTTGCTCTCTGCCTTACTTTCTGGCAGACTTACACTTAGCTAGCTTTGATATACATCCCAAGATCATCTGCCTAGGGAAAGTGCTGCCCACAGTGGGCTGGACACTACTGAATCAATCAATAATCATAACATTTACCCACAGATATGCCCACAGTCCAATCTGATGTGGGCAACTCTTCAGTCAAGGTTTTTTACTCAGATGATACTGGGCTGTGTCAGGTTGACAAGAAAAGCTACCTAGACAATGTATCGTATATGTACTTAATTACATTTATTCCGAGTTATTTTAAGTTTGTAATGTTATTGTAGAATAGTATTGATTTTTTAAAGAACTGGATGTCGTGGTACACAACCTTAATCTCAGCACCCAGGAAGCAGAGACAGATGAATCTCTGAGCTCAAGGCCAGCATCCTCTGCTGAGAAAGTTCCATGATAGCCAGGGCTACACAGAGAAACCTTGTCTCAAAAAGAAGAAAAGGAAGGAAGGAAGGAAGAGAGAAAGAAAGAAAGAAAGAAAGAAAGAAAGAAAGAAAGAAAGAAAGGAAGGAAGGAAGGAAGGAAGAAAGAGAGAGAGAAAAGAAGAATTTTTTAAACTGTGGGTTGAGCTGTCACAAGCCTTTAACCTCAGCACTCAGGAGGCAGAGTCAGGAAGATCTCTGTGAGTTCCAGGCCAGCCTGGTCTGCAGAGCAAGCTCCAGGACAGCCAGAGTTACACAAAGAGAAACCCTGTTTTGAAAAAAAAAAAGCAAAAATTAATTAAAGCCTTTTAAATATTTGTTATAAGCACATGAAATATAATTTGTGGTGGTTTGAGTGAGAACTGTCCCCCAAAGTCATGAACACGTGATCCCTAGTTGGTAGGGTTGGGGTGGGTTGTTGAGAGGTAGATCCTTGCTGAAGGAAGGAAGCCACTGAGGGGCTTTGAGTGTTTCTAGTCCTCCCCACTCCTGTTCACCCAGCTTTGTGAATGCTCGGCTTCCTGCTGCCCTGCCTGTCTCTTCCCGCCACGACAGATGCTTACACCTCTGGAGCCCAA